TATCATGTCATTCTCTTCTGGTCTGTAGGGTTTCTGTTGAGAAGTCTGATGATAGCCTGATGGGTTTTCCTTTGTAGGTGACCTTTTTTTTCTCTCTGGCTGCCTTTAATACTTTGTCCTTGTCTTTGATCTTTGCAATTTTAATTATTATGTGTCTTGGTGTTGCCCTCCTTGGATCCCTTGTCATGGGAGTTCTGTGTACCTCTGTGGTCTGAGAAGCCATTTCCTCCCCTACTTTGGGGAAGTTTCTCTGTGTTCCTGTTCTCTGTTTTCTAGTCCATTAATGGTCTCTTGCATCTCATCCATTCTGTTTTGAAGTCCTTCCAGAGCTTGTTTAATTTCTATGTTCTCCCTCCTTAGTTCTTGCATATTTCTCTGCAAGTCCATCAGCATGGTTATGACTTTTTTAAAATTCTTTTTCAGGAAGACTGGCTAAATCTATCTCCCCAGGTTCCTTCTCAGGGGAAGATGTAGCAGGTGTCGAAGCTGTCTGGGTTAGTCTTGTCTGGATCAAATTTTTTTGCCTTTTCATGTTGATAGGTGCAATGGTGAGCTATTTACTTTCTGTCAGCTGGGAGGGCCAAGGCTTTCCACTAGCTCCTGGCCATTTTTTACTGGGACAACTCCGACCCCTAGTGGCTTGTGTTGGGCAATTGCTTGTAGACTGGGTCTCTGTATCTTGCCCGGCCGGTATTGAGGAAGCTCCCTTGCTGTGGGCGTAGCCAGCCTCAGGCTCCTGCTCTGCTATGGCGGGGCCCTGGAGAGGTAATGGACAGGGGGCTGTTTGGCTGTTTACCTCCGTGAGGGGTCTCAGAGCTGTTGCCCAGGGGGGTTAGTATGCCCAGGGTTCCCTGGAATTTCCAGCTGCTGGACTTTGACCGGGGAAGCTTCCATCTAGCTGTGGCATCCCTGTTCCTTTAAGACTTTCAAAAAGCACTCGCTTTTCTTTGTCACAGGGGCGCCCGCTTTGGGACCCACTCCAAGGTCTTGCTGTCCTGTTTCCTTAGTTTCCAGCACCCCACACATGCACTGTGTCTGCGCTTTGGTGCGGGTGGCTGGGGCTGGGTATTTAGCAGTCCTGGGCTCCCTCTCCCTCCCCACTCCGACTCCTCTCCTCCCACTGGGAGCTGGGGTGAGGGGCGCTTGGGTCCCGCCGGGCCGGGGCTTGTATCTTACCCCTTTCACCAGGCGTTGGGTTCTCGCATGTGTGGATGTAGTCTGGCTGTTGTCCTGTGTCTTCTGGTCTCTCTTTTAGGATTAGTTGTATTTGTTGTATTTTCAAAAATATATATGTTTTTGGGAGGAGATTCCCACTGTCCTACTCACGCCGCCATCTTGGCTCCACCCCCAAAGTGTTTGCTTCTTGTACACATTCCTGTTGGCTGTATGGTTATATAATCTAATTGCTGGGTCACAAGGCATGTATGTGTTTGAATTTAGTAGACTTGGCCAAACAGTTTCCCCAAAATGATTAAATTAATTTACACTCCCACTCTCATGTTCCAATTGATCCACATTGTTGGTAATACCTGGTATTGTCATTTAAAAAAAATTAGGCTTAATTAGTTTAATTAGACTGTGTATTGGTATTTTATTTCAGTTTCTGTGGACTTCCAGGAGTTCTCTATATATTCTGGTTATTAAATCCTTATCAATACATAACTTATAAATAATCTTTCTTATTCTGTGGGTTGCATTTTTATTCTGTTGACAGTGCCCTTTGGTGCACATGAAATACACCATGTGCATTTAAAAAATTTTTTTCATGAAGTGCAAAAGGTTTTTTCTTTTGTTGCCTGTGCCTTTCATGTCATTTCCAAGAAATCACTGCCTTATCCAATGCCTGAAATCCTTGCTCTATGATTCCTTCTGAGAGTTTATAGTTTTAGATCTTATGATTAGGTCATGGATTCATTTTGAGTTAACTTTTATATGTGGTGTTAGGCAAAGGGTCCATCTTCAGTTTTTTTCTTTTTTGCATGTGGATACCCAGCTTTCCTATGCACAGAGTAAAGTTGGATCATGTTTTTTTATTCATTCTGCCAAACTTTTTGTATTGATTGGTGAGTTTAATTCACTTACATTTAAGGTAATTACTGATAAGGGAGTGCTTCTGTCATTTTACTATTTATTCTACATGGTTTATAGTTTTTTGTCCCTCATTCCCTGCATTGCTGTTTTCTTCTGTATTTAGTTGACTTTTTTTTTTTTTGGGTACTAAAACACATTTCTTTTTCATTTATTTTTATGTATATTCCTTACTTATTTTCTTTTTGGTTACCATGAAGGTTATGTTTAACATCCAAGGGTATAACACTCTGATTTGAATTTATACCAGCTTAATTTCCATAACATGAAATTCTGCTCTTTTAACAACTCCATCCCCACTCCTTTCAGTTATTGATGTCACAGAAATAACATCTTACATTGTTTGTCCAAAATCAGAAACTAATAATTTCTTAAATTTATTAGTCTCTGAAGTTATGTAGAAAGGAAATGTGGAGTTATAAGCCAAAGTTATAGTAATATCAGCTTTTAGACTAATAAATGTTTTTTAAATGTCTTAGTCTCTCAAATAATGTAGAAAACAAAAAGTGGTGTTACAAATGATTATTTTAATAATACTAGCTTTTATAATTGCCCATGTGTTTATTTACATTTACTGAGATCTTTATTTCTTCATATGGATTCACATTACTGTCAGGTGTCCTTTCACTTCAATCTGCAGGACTCCTCTGTCATTTCTTTTAGGACAGTCCTAGTGGCAATGAACTTCCTCAGATTTTGTTGATCTGGGAATATCTTAATTTCTCCTTCACTTCTAAGGACAGTTTTGCTGGTTATAGGGTTCTTGGTTAACAGTTTTTTTTTTCTTACAGTACTTTGGACATATCAGTCCACTTCCTTTTGGCCTCCAAAGTTTCTGATAAGAAATCTGATGATAATCTTATTGAGGATTCCCTGTTTGTTTCTCTCTTTCTGACTGTAAAGTTTCTCTTTCTGTCTTTTGGCATTTGATTATAATGTCTTAGTGTGGGTCTCCTACTTGTTCACTGACTTTCTTAGATGTTAATATTCAAGACTTTTATCAAATTTAGGATGTTCCCAGAATTATTTCTTCAAATTTTCTCTGTCCCTTTCTCCCTTCTCCTTGTGGGTCTCCCACAGTGCATATGTTGGTCCACTTGATGGTGTCCCACAGGTTCCTTAGACTCTGTTCACTTTTCTTCAATCTTTTTCTTTCTGTTCCTCAAATGTGATAATTTCCATTGCCCTACCTTCAAGGTGACTGATTCTTTCTTCTGCCTGATTGAATATACCTTATAGTTCTTGCCACATGCCTGTTATATATTTTAAGTTCAATTCATACTTAAGGATTTCAAGTTTTTAATTGTTATTGTGAATAGAATACTTTTCTACATTTTCTTTAGTTGGGGGAGAATTTTTAATATTTATCTTGTTACTGGATACCTTATTGAATTTTCTTATTAAACCTACAGCTTTTAAGCTAATTCCCTAGGAGCTTAAATTAAACAATCAACAATAACAGTTTTCTCCTCTTTCCAAAATTTCCAACACTTAATTTTCTTTCTCTTTTTTTTTAAAGAAAAACATTTAAAGTCCTGGCTAAGACTTCCAACACAGCATTCAATGCTCGGAGTAGAACTATTCATTCTTCTTTGTTCCTGACTTTAACAGGAAAACTGTTTTGCCATCTAATACAATGTTTGATTTAGATTTCTAATAGATACCCTTTATCCAATTAACAATGTTACTTCTCTTATTAGCTTTGCAGAATTTTTTTGAACTTTCTGAAAGAGAGTTAGATTTTATTAAATGGCTTTCCTGCTTTGATCTCTTAATAAGTAAGTTTTATAGCTATTTTTGGATATCAGACCTTAGTCATAGTACATTATGTTTTTAAAATGTTGCCATTCAATTAGCTACTATTATTTTAATAAGTCTAGTATATGTATTTGTAAGCATAATGTATTCATGTTTTTTTTGCTTATACTATTCTCAATTTGGGGAATAAATTTCATACTTACAGAATTAGTTACATCCCTCTCTATCTTTTACATGTCACATTATCATTTAAATAACTTAAAGAAAGGATATGTAGTTGATTATTACCATATAATTGAGTGTGCTTATAGACCATAGTTTCTGTGAGAAAAGTTGTTTCAATATCACAGATAATTCTCAGGAACATACTGATAACCACTCTAGCTTAGGATGAGAAACAGGTTTATCATACCCTTGTCTTGGGAGCAAAGGATACAAGAGATGGTCCCTCACCGTAGCAAGAAAGGAAAAAGTAGTCAATCACCAGAGCTATAGGAAATAAATTCTCAGTGGTGGTTGCTTTTCTTTAGAAAATTATTTTTAGTGAGATATTCATATCTCAGGGAAGGCCTATATTGGATAGAGCCAAAAGTAGATTTGAAGATCATGAATGACTATATACCAACTAAGTATATTTGATTTGAAAATATTCTACCTTACCTTATCAATTTCAGAACTTTCAACTTCATGAATAATTCCTTTTAACCTGAAAACATTAACAATTTCTGTAGCCAAATTAAGCATAACATTAATCTCTTCCTTTGTTTTCATAGTGATAGTGATTTCTGGATGATCATACTCAAAGTAGCCTGAAAAATAACAAAATATCTTCAGATGAAATAAGGATATTGCTTAAATGTTTCATGTGGACAATACGCTAATACTTCAGCTTCAATCTGTTAGTACAAGCTTAAACACGGAAATGAATTTCTTTCTGCTGAAGTCTCTACAATCAATTGTAAGTCATCAAGGGTACAGAGTTCTACCTGCAGCTCATACTTGTGCCTGAGCCCATACGGGACAGATGACCCCAGTTCTAGAATCAATTATACTGATCCATCTGCACTGTACACCAAGAGTCTTTTCTGGGCTGTAGTTTCACAGTTCACAATCTGCTTTTCTATTCTCTTTGAATCAGGGTATTTTTACTGTAGGCTCTGCAGATATGGCTTCTGATTAAATCCTCTCCCTTAGCCCAAGTCATTGTTCACCCACTTTGCTGTGCATCAACATGGCTCATCCATCTATGATCTTCTGCCTGTCTGGTCTGGATTCATGAATGCCTAGATAAAGTTTCACCCACTTAAGATTCTACAGTTAGGCTTTTCCTTGGTCCTGACTTCATTTCTGGCTTGACAACTATCTTCCATAGAAGGTATCTCAAGCCTGGCCTCATTCTCATCCTAGGTGTGTCCTTTTACTACCCACAGTCTGGTACCAACCCCCTTCTTCTCCACACACATGAACACTATACCGTAGGAGTGTGTCTGTCCTACTTATAGGATTTGTTCTGCACTAGGAGCATGGCCTGGCATGACTCAGAGAATAGGCTCTTGTTGTGTTTGTGAACTAAGGATCCCAGAAGTCACAACAGGAATCTCTGAGACTCTGTTCTGATTTCAACTCATTAGAAAGCTTACATCCTCAGATGGCAGCACTGTGGCAAGTGGAAGAAAAAAAATAACTTTTTTCTTTGTGTTGCTAGGAAGGTATATGTACTTCTGGTTTGAAACAAAGTAGAATTTAAAAGGTGATAATAATATGTGTAATCATGCCATACTAATTCATTTTCTTTAAACAAATTAAAAGGCCTTCATTGGGGTATAAGTCAGAGAGAACAAGTGAGGAGAGATAAAAGTACACTATTCTTATCCAGCCAAAAATATGATCATAGTGATTGTTGAAGTTGTCTATTCTATTCTTAGTAGTAAATACGTATCCTTACAGATCAATTTAGTTATCAAAAACATTACCTCTATGAAGAAATGATGGTAAGAGATGTCCATGCTGAATCTTTAAGAAGAGAATACTTACCTAGCTCTTCCATAGCATGTCCTGTATTCTTTGTTACCCTCCTTAACAGCATCTATGGAACAAAAGAAGTATTATCTCCATTGGAAAACAAGCTGCTATGACAGGATTTTACATTTGCAACTGATGGATTTTTAACCTAAAGAAATCTAATGGAGAGCTTTTTAAAGAGTAGAATTGAATTTTGAGCAATGAACTTTATTTTGTTCAAACAAGAGTGGTGGAGAGGCTTAGAAGCAAGCATTATCTTGGGTGATTTTGAGAAAACTGAAGGTGAGTCATACACTTTTCCTTAAGGCAACTTCCTTTAGGATACTATTGATTATGTAAATTACAGGCAGGGTAGGTACTTTCTCATTCAACTTTTTTTTTTTTTTTAGAGGGCATCTATCATATTTATTGATCAAATGGTTGTTAACAACAATAAAATTCTGTATAGGGGACTCAATGCACAATCATTAATCAACCCCAAGCCTAATTCTCAACAGTCTCCAATCTTCTGAAGCATAACGAACAAGTTCTTACATGGTGAACAGTGCAAGGGCAGTCATATCACAGAAACTTTCGGTTTTGATCACGCATCATGAACTATAAACAATCAAGTCAGATACGGTTATTCATTTGATTTTTATACTTGATTTATATGTGAATCCCACATTTATGAGAGTCTCCAAATTTGGGACACAGGGGCAACTTTCAACATTAAGTGAGGTAGAAGGTTTGGCTGAGCCATGGAAGAGCAGAAATGAGGACTAAAACTGGGCAGCATCTGAGAGATTCAAGTCTTTTTTTTAATTTTCTACTGTGTATCCTCGAATTCCAGTGCTAAAAATGAGTGGTTATAAAAGGTAATCAAATTCAGGAAAATAGTTTTAAAATTACAGGTGGTGAAGAGCAGAATTTTTTTGTATGTTCAATTTTTTTTTAACTATTAAGCTTTGAGCATATGACAGATGACATTCGAATTTTCTACATTTCTTTGAAAGGAAAATATTTAACTTCACATAGCTGACAAACTTGTGGGCATGTATCTGTGTTAATATGTCTCAATTGAGAAAATAAAAAATAAAATCTAGAATGTAGGTCCCAGAATTCTCTTTGCTGTTTGCTAGTTATGTGACTTTGGGCATAATCATTTAAGATCTCTTGGCTTCATTTTTCTCATCAGTATAATGAGGGAATTAGACAAGTTTGCCTTCTGGAAAAGTTTTGGTTATTTCTTTCTATTTGCCAGATTCCTAGCCTTTACTTCTTTTGCTATTGCTACAGGAAAATCAGGGATACAGAAAGAGAGAACGAGACTTTGGGAAATTATGAGGAAGCTCTGGTCAAACTGCCATCACTTCTCACCCTCCAGTATTTCCTGTTTAATACATCTGTAACTTGGCACATCCTGGAATTTGCACTGGGGAGGGAACTGACCATTGCACATGGATTTCATGATAGCTTTCACAAAGACTTGTATTCCAAGATACTTGTAACTTGTTGGTGTGGCACAGACATCTCAACAAAGAGGCATTTCAGCAGTCTAAAATGTAGACTAGTTTAAGTTTTTATAGAAAAAATTTAGCAAACCAGGGGTCAAAAACCACATCGACATATATAGATAGAAGATGTGATGGGTGAGGGCAACTGAGGGGTGGGGAAAATAACCTTTTTCTTAGTATTTTAAAAGTTTTACTCACCTGTTTAACCTCTTCAGAACTTGCAATCTCATCTATTATGGTCATTGTGTCTACTTCACCTTGGACATACCCTTTTAGTATTGCGTACTTAAAGGACAGCTGATGACTAATCCTTTTATCTGTTATTTGCAGCAACTTTGGTGTTACAAGCTTTAAAAAGCAGGACTGCTAGTTAATATAAGTTGCACAAATTTTAGTTAATTACAAATTTATAGATGTTTATGAATATATTTATAAATATATTTAAAAATATTTATATGTTTAGATTTAGTTGTTTAACTAAAATAGGTAATAATAAAAAATGACATCCTGTCAGCAGTAACTGTAGTAACCTGTCAAGGTTCTTGTTTTATTTATGGTATATCTTAATAACTAACTTCACGCCTTGAATATTCCCCTATAACTAATAATGTTGGGCACCTATGTAAAGTTAAGACTTTATTCTTTACTGATTTTCTTTATAGAAAATTCGATGCTATTTTCAACTGGTTTAAATCCTTGGAAAACAATGTGATTAATCTTCTGACCTTAGCTCATAAATGACTGTCTATGAAGTATTGCCAATTTTACCTGCTAAATCTACTAAACTTCCTACTAGATAGTTCATTCAGGTTAGAATCCACCACAAGTATACTACCTGTTGCACCCCACAATTAACTTGTTACTGTTTCTTTGCATAGGGTTCAAGTCTCCAGGTTATCCATTATCATTGTGCAGTCCCTTAACTTTAGCAGAATTGGCTCTTCTCTATGTTTTCTTGACTAGGTTCCACAATCTCCATACTCTACTCTCCAACCACCTGCCATTAATCTCCAAAAATTTATACTCACCCTTGAAGATTCAGTTCTAGTATCACCTAATAAAGGAAATGTTTTCCATCCCACTAGCACTTCTGTGCACTCTATTATTTTGTACTTTTCCTATCTTATAACATTGGAATATCTAGATTACTAATTGTGCTTTCTACTGTAGACTGTCTGGTAGCAGAGACTATAACTAATTTGTCATCAATTCAAGGACCTACCATTTGACATAAAAACAAGGGTTCAGAGTTTTCTGAATGCATAAACAAACTTTTCTTAGATGGTTTACCAGTTTCTTCATCTAAAATATTTGGTATACTATATATATCCTCTTATTAGTAAGATTTAACTAGTTACTGGAATACCATAGACTTGCTTTCCTCAGGTCAAAATACACACTAGCATTACTTACAGTCTCATACAATAGTGAAAAGGAAAAGGCTTCTTGTTCCATACTTTTACAGCTGGTTGATATAGGCCTTTCTGTACCAAGAGCATTTTTTAACATATGTAAGAAAGCTTCTAAATGTAAAGATTCTATCTGTTAGTTTTATCTCTAAATCAACAATGTCTTACTTAGCACTGTTTCTCTAACAGTGCCTATATGTATATATGCATCTTGTTCATGTATGAATAAAGAAAGAGGTAGAGAGAGAGGGGGAAAATGTATCCATGTGCATATTATATACACGTTGTGATGGTGTTTCATGTAATTGAAATAGTCATATAGAAAATAAATAACTATCCACCATATTGGTTATAGAAAGATGTGTGGACAATATAAGGCCATCTTGGATGCTGTGATTCTTAAATACTATGAATTTCTGTAATACAAAATGTGTATTTTTTGGTTTCCTGATTTGCATGAATGTATGCTATTTGCTTGGTCACCATGAATGGTTTGTATAGTTGTTTTATTGATTTCCATCTTTTATTCCAAGTATTTATAAGCATAAACATTACTTGGGGGTTAGTTTGTATTTACATTAAAATGGAATTTTTCATGGCTTTTATTCAGAGGAAAAGCTGTAATGAGTATTTCTATATTTTCTTGTGCTAAATGAATTTCTAATTTGGATATTCATAATATGCTATGTTATAAAGCTTATTTGTTAAGGGGATCTAAAATTTTAAATATAAACATCAGCCCAACAGAAAGTGGAAGCCATAAAACTAGTAAACTAACTTTAGTCCACATTATATGAAGAAGTCAGGAGAAATGTGAAGTTAAATGATTTAATAGTTCTTTACCTTCAAAATTCGTAATACTCGAACAAGCTGAAGAAGTTTCATAAAGACCACCATTTGAGTCACATCAAAAGTAAAATCAATGGAATTTGTCTCAGTAAGAATTACATCTATGATGCCCAAAATTATAATTGCTAACTCAAATTTGTTCCAGATATGTAAAAAATATTCCTTCCTCATTGCTGCTATCTGTTGATTAAAAAATAAATTTCATTATATTGTTTGTTTTTTCACTCCACAATTTTTCACAATAACTGAAACATCACTAGTTAGGTTGTCTCTGATCTGCCTTAAGACTCTACTTGTCTGAAATACCAATAAGTAATCATGTAAATTTGAAATTAAGTGGTTGAAATATTGAAACATATATTCCAATGAAGAAAGTATTCAAAATACCTACTATTTTATGATCATTCATTCATTCTTTACTTGAAAAGAACTTATATTGAAAGCCTACTATAGCTAAGAGAATGGGAAGTCAAAGGTGATTGTGGATTCCAGCCTAGGAAACTATATCCAGTGGAATTTTGAAGGAAGAGTAGGCTTGGAGAAGATAAATTTGTTTTGAATAGGCCATTTGAGATGTTTGCACAGTAATTTGTTGGAGAGGTATGGTCATCAGTTGTCTATGTGATCTGAGCCTCCAGATAAAATCTGAGCTGGAGACATGAATTTAGGAATCATTAGACTATGAATGGTAGTTGATGGCAGGGAATGAATGAGATGGCATGGTCTATGGGGCCCTTTATTTTTAAATTCATGCCTATGTCACTTGTGTCATTTTCCATATATTCTGCACAAACTTAACATCTCTCCAGCCTCTACCCTGACCAACCCATTTCTAAGCTCCAGTCATCAGGTGTGTTGTCAGTGTTTTCTCTAAATTTTCCCTAGTTTTTGTTGTTAATTTATGCTACATACTCACTTACTCATTCTCTACTGTGACTCTTATTCATTATTCAAAATTCAACTAAAGTATCTCTCCCTGGAAAGCCTTCTTTCTTTGACCCCATTTTGTATAAGGAACTCCTATTTTTTCCAAAGTACTCTGTGCATTTTTCTATTATAATTTTTAAACACTGATTTGTAGTTTTGATTATTTTGTATTCTTTAACTAGCCTGATCCCCCTACTCACTATGATTCAAATAAAGTGTAGGGGACATTTATATTCATGTCCCAGAGGAAGCATATGCTCCAGTATAAATTAAGAAGTTGTGACACTTGTTTATAAACAAACTCTGAGTTTAGTGGTAGAGAGTCATTTCCCTTGAGCCGGCTCACATTTAGCTGCGCTGAGGAAATTCAGTCTCTGACTCTAGGAGGCAAAAGACAAGATCCTGATCTTGTGAGGTCCTGTTCAATTGACCATTTAACCTCTGTAGAACCTCTGTCTCATTTCTTTCTGATTGAAACAGTGTATAGTTTGGATCATTGTCTTAGCCACTTGAAAAAACCAAAGAGTACAAAGTAAAAAGAGTAAGACTTTATCCAGATACCAGTTATTCAGAGATGTGAAACAGTTACCTGGAGGTCACTAGAATACAGACATAGGAGAGGAAAAGACTGGTGTAAAAGGATAGTGTAGGCTTCAAAAGAAGAAAAGTTTATTGAATATAAGCTTGTCAGAGAATGGTTGGAAGTTCAGGTAATGCCACATCCTGGTTCTCAGATGAGAAGAGTGATAACTCTTCTTCTGAGAAAGCTGAAAAGACCCCTTCCTCCAAAAGGTTGTGGAGTGTTTGTGGAAAAGGTTGAAAATACAAGAAGACTTTTAAGGCAGCAATGAATATTAGAAAGAAAACAATCTTAGAGGGGTTGGATACCAACTTGACTATTCATTAGCTATGTGACTTTAGGCAAAAGACTCATGTCTCTCATCTGTAAAATGCAAGGTACAATGGTTACCTTAAAGGGTTAATTTAAGGATTCGAAATGTTATAAACAAAATGACTGGTATCTTACAGATGATCATGTATTATTTTTGTTATTCACATAACTGATATTTAGAAAGGCACCATAGAAAGGGGCAGAACTGAACCCAATAGAAAAGATGGTAAAGGATGCATATTGAACAGTGAGAATGAATCTGAAATTCAGTAGAAGGGAGAGGCAAGAAGAGGCCTGCACAGTATTCTCTCAGCTAAGAAGGGGAAGCATGTCTCTGCTGTCTCAGGTTCTGCTGATTGAATGAAGCTATGGCTACACATAGCTATGACAGCATCTTAAACTGGGCAAAATACAAAGAATAACAGAACTAGAGGGATTGTCATATATCATTTAGGCCAACCCTGACATTTTACAGAAGAAACTGAGGCTCGGAAAAGTTTGGTAACTTGGGGAAGAGCTAACAGTTTGTTAGAGGAACCCAAACCTGAGCCAGGTCCACTGAACCCCAGCTCAGTGTTCTTCCTACCGTAGCACATTTTTAGGGAACCATTCCCTCTTACCCTCATGCTATTACTAACCCTAACCCTAATCGCTTTACTTTCTCTTAATTATATGATATCTCCTATAGACTTTCCAACCAATTTTGGATTTATAGCATACAATGTGATTGGATGTGAATCCCAACCCATCCATCAATATCATGTCTCTGCAGGGGCTCTGGTAAAGATTGGCGATTCATTTATTTTGCCCAAATATCAGATATATTTCTTCTATTTCAATATTCTGGCTAAAAATATTTCATACTACAACTTTTTGACCTATGTGACACAATACTGTTATCAGTTTTGGGCATACATTTGCATCATTGAGCAACTACCTTTATATTAAATAAAAAAACAAATTATGAAATATTTTTCAAGTATAAATGAATATCAATCAATCTCCCTATCCATCTGTTTATCTGTATAGTATAAAAATAATAAAATGAACACCCATGTACTCACCACCTTGCTAAGTTTAAGAACATTTGCAATACATCTGAAACTCACTCTGGGTCCCTTTGACACACACCATTTAAAATTTTATTTTTGCACATACAAAATCAATCCCTAAAGTTTGTATATTTTCTATTGAGGCACCCGAAAAAATAACCTTTAAAAATTAAAGTTTATTTGAAAAATGGTGGAGAATTTCATACATTCCTTTAGAATACTGTGTAGCTAGTGGTGAAAAATGAAATCTCTGTGTTAGACACATAACATGTACACACACACACACACACACACACACACACACACACACACACACACACACACATTTTAGATTACCTTTAATAGGGCTTCCAGGATATAAAATGCAAGAAAAAGGTAGTTAGAGTATTTTAATTCATGCTTATAGATATCTCCTAACACAGATATCCAAGAAATTATAATAGGAAACATATTCATCAGTATGACAAGGTATCCAACATACTCAAATTCATCAGTAAATACAATCTTATGGCATACATGAAGAAAGCAATATCTGTAAAAGAAGAGAGTTTTATCTGTTAAAATAAATTGAATTATTTTCATTATATGCTTGTTCTGTTCTAATCATCAATAGGTACAGAGCCCCAGCATAATTCCGGGAAGTAGCCATCATTACCTAACACTTTCTGGTATCCTACTTCAGGAATATTTTAATTTCCTTCTCTGGTTTCCCTTCTTTTTTTTTTCTCATCTTCCTTACCTCTCATTCATTTTTACTATTAATAGAAATACTTGTGGTCCTAAGACCAGGATACTTCAAACTGGAAATATTAAAAAAAACAAAACAAAAGGATTCCCTCCCACATTCCAATAACTCCACTTCTCAGAGATGACAATTATTAACACTTTGATATTGTTCCCGTCATTTTTGTTTATGTAATCATGATTTATAAACACAAAAGGAATGATGTCATACATATTCTATAAACTTTCCTCCCCTTTCTCTCAACAATGAGTCATGGGCATCTTTCCTTGCCCAGGCATAAAATCTGGAACAAATTCCAGCATGTGTGATAGTGGAACTACATGGATCCACATTTTATCAAAAATTGAAATTAATGTATATGCTTTAAAAAACAGTTTCCATACCAAGTAGAGTGAAATTGGATGAATGGATTTACTTAGGTATTTTTAATCATCCGAGTAACAAAATAATGCATTATTATTGTTAAATGCAAATGAAATGATTAATCAATTACTGACTGAAGATTGGTTAAGTATAGTATCACTTTCCCATTCTCAGAGATAGATCTGTGTTACTTAGGAACTCAGAACTGTGATACTGAAACTTTGACAATTTAAGGCCTTATTTAAGAACAAGAAGATGAAATTATGAATATGTACATGATCCAGTCCTCAAATTGCTAGAGCGCTCTGAGGCCTCAGGCAGCGTCTGTGGGAGGGAGCAGCCGGGGCGTGGGTCCGCCTTGTGAACTTCACAGTAACAGCGCCTCTGCCTTCTCAGTCCTCTCTCCAGACCGCTTCTCTTTTCTTTCCTCCCTCCCTCCCTCCCTCCCTCCTTCTGCTCCTTCCTTCCTCCTTCCCTTCCTCCCTCTCTTTCTTTCTTTCTTTTTCAAACTTTCAGCTATATTGGGGTATAATTGATATATAACTGCAGATATTTAAAGTGTATATCATGGTGATTTGACGTATGTATCCATTGTAAAAGGATTCTACAAATCTAGCTAATTAACACATCCATTCCCTCACATGATTATCTTTTTGCGGGAGGGTGAGACTATTTAAGTTTTATTCTATTAGCAAATTTCTACTATACACTATGGTGTCATCAACTATAGTCACATTAGATGTCTTACATTAGATCCTCAGACCTTATTCATCTTATAGCTGAAAGTTAAACCTTTTACCAACTTCTCCCTCCTTACCCTATCCCTCAGCCCTGCTAACTGCTTTTTTATTCTGTTTTTAAAAGTTGATATTTTTTAGGTTAAACATATAAGTGATATGATGCAATATTTGTCTTTCTCTGTCTGGCTTATTTTGCTTACCTTAATGCCCTTAAGGTCCATCTATGTTTATACAAATGGCAGGATTTCCTTCTTTCTCATGGCTGAATAGTACTCCTTTCTATATATATATTCACCTTATTTTCTCTATCTGATCATTCATTGATGGACACTTAGTTTATTTTGTGTTACTAACACTTTGAATATTGTTCCCATCATTTTTGTTTATGTAATTATCATTTATAAACACAGAAGGAATGATGTCATGCATATTGTTCTGTAAACTTTCCTCCCCTTTCTCTCAACAATGAGTCATGGGCATCTTTCCTTGTCAAGGCATAAAATCTGAACAAATTTCAGCATGTGTGGTAGTAGAATGAATATGGGAGTGCAGATATCTCTTTGATGTCCTATTTTCATTTCCTTTGGCTATATAACTAGAAGTGAGACTGCTAGATCATACGGTGGTTTCATTTTGAATTTTTTGAGGAACCTTCAAATTGTCTTCCATAGTGGCTATAACAATTTACATATCCACCAACAGTGCCCAAGGGTCCCCCTTTCTTCATGTCCTTGTTAACACATATTATCTCTTGTCTTATTGATAATGAACATTCTAACAGGTATGAGGTGATATCTCACTGTGGTTTTGATTTGCATTTCTCTGATGGTTAGTGATGGTGAGCACCTTTTTATGTATCCATCGACCATTTGTATGTCTGATTTGGGAAATGTCTGTTCAGTTCCTCTGACCATTTTTTAAATTGGATTGCTTGGATTTTTTGTTTGTTTGCAAGGGACTTGAATGAGTTCTTCTGTTTATTGGCATGTAGTCTTATATTAGTTTCAAATATACAACACAGTGGTTCAACGGTTACCCATATTATTAAATCCTCACCCCTATTAGTACAGCTACTATCTGTCAAGATAGGAAGATATTATAGAATTCACTGGCTATATTCTCCATGCTGTACTACTATCCCCATAACCAACCTACATTATGACTGAGAATTTTTGTGCCCCTTTATCCCCTTCACCCTCCCCCTCCACCCACCTCAACCCCTCCCTCATGGTAACCACCAGTCCCTTCTCAGTGTCTGTGAGTTTTGTTCATTCTGTTTTGCTTTGTATTTGTATTTCACAAATAAGTGAAATTATATTGTATTTGTCTTTCTCTGCCTGATTTATCTCACTGAGCATAATACTCTCTAGATCCATCAGTGTTGTATCAAATGGCTGGATTTCTTTTCTTACGGCTGAATAATATTCCATTGTATATATGAACCACCTCTTTTTTATCCATTCATCTGCTGATGGACACTTAGATTGCTTCCATATCTTGGCTAATGTAAATAATACAGCAATAAACATAGGGGTGCATATATATTTTTGGATCAGGGATTTTGTTTTCTTCAGGTGGAGTTACTGGGTCAAACGGTATTTGTATTTTTAGCTTTTTGTGGAAACTCCATACTGATATCCACAGTGGCTGCACCAATTTACATTCCCACCAACTGTGAAGGAAGTGGCTAGCCTGACTGGTGTGAGATGGTATCTCATTGTGGTTTTGATTTGCATTTCCCTGATAATTAGTGATGTGGAGCATCTTTTCATGTGTCTGATGGCCATCTGTATGTCTTCTTTGGAGAAATGTCTATTTAGGTCCTCCACCCATTTTTTAATAGGGTTGTTTGTTCTTTTGGTGTTGAGGTGTATGAGCTCTTTATATAGTTTGAATGTTAACTCCTTTTTGGATAAATCATTTTAGAATACTCTCCCATACTGTAGGTTGCCTTTTTGTTCTGCTGATAGTGTTTCTGCTGTACAGATGCTTTTAATTTGATGTAGTCCCAACTTGGTCATTTTTTATTTTGTTTCCCTTGCCTAAGGGGGTGTGTCCAGGAAAAAAATTGCTCATGCTTATATTCAAGAGATTTTTGCCTATGTTTTCTTCTAAGAGTTTTATGGTTTCATGTTTTACATTTAAGTCTTTAACCCATCTTGAGTTTACTTTTGTGTATGGAGTTAGACAGTAATCCAGTTTAATTCTCTTGCAGGTAGCTGTCCAATTTTCCCAAAACCATTGAAAAGGCTGTCTTTTCCCCACTGTATATTCATGGCTCCTTTATCATACATTAATTGACCATATATGTGCAGGTTTGTATCTGGGCTCTCTATTCTGTTCCATTGATCTATAGGTCTGTTCTTATGCCAGTACCAAATTGACTTGATTACTGTAGCTTTGCAGTATAGTTTGAAGTCAGGGAACATAACCCCTCCACCATCTATGTTCTTCTTTCTCAGGAATGATTTGGATACTCAGGATTTTCTGTGGTTCCATATGAATTTTAGAACTATTTGTTCTAGTTCATTGAAAAATGTTGTCAGAATTTGATAGGGATTGCATTGAATCTGTAAATTGCTTTAGGCAGGATGGTAATGAGTTCTTTACATATAATGGATATTAACCTGTTATCAGATACGTGATTTTAAAATATTTTCTCCCATCCCATAGATCGCTATTTCCTTTTATTAATGGTTTCATTTATTGTGCAGATGCTTTTTAGTTTGATGTAGTCCCACTTGTTTATTTTTGCTTTTGTTGCCTTTGCTTTCAGTGTCAAATCAAAAAAATCATTGCTGAAGCTGATATCAAGGAACTTACTTTCTATGCTGGTTTTTTTTCGAGGAGTTTTAGGGTTTCAGGTCTTACATTCAAGACTTTACACCATTTTGAGTTGATTTTTGTGTATGGTGTAAGACAGTGGTCCAGTTTCATTCTTTTGTATGTAGCTGTCCAGTTTTCCCATTACCATTTATTGGAGAGATTACCCTTTCCCCATTATATATCCTTGGCTCCATTGTCATAAATTAATTGACATGGGTTTATTTTGGGGGCTCTCAATTCTGTTTGACTGATCTATGTGTCAGTTTTTATGCCAATACCACACTATTTGATTACTACAGCTTTGCAATATAATTTGAAATCAGGAAGTGTGATACCTTTAGGTTTGTCCTTTCTCAAGATTGCTTTGGCTGTTCATGGTCTTGTCACTCCATACCAATTTTAGGATTTTTAAAGTGTCATATTCTGGAAGCTAACTGATATATTCAGGAAATTTGATAAAGATTGTTTCGAATAGTATGGACATTGTTTAACAAAATTAATTTTTATGATACATGGACACAGAATATCTATTTATTTTTGTCTTCTTCAATTTTTTCATCATTGTCTTATTGTATTCAGTGTATAAGTTTTTCATCTCCTTGGTTAAATATGTTCCTAGGTATTTTATTCTTTTTGATGCAATTGTAAATGGAATTGTTTTCTTAATTTCTTTTTCTGTTAGTTTTTAAAATCAATGTATAGAAATGCTACTAATTTTTGTATATTTACTTTGTATCCTGCAAATTCACTGCATTTGTTTATTGGTTCTAGCCATGTTGAGACCTGATCCTTGGAAGCAAGAAAAGGTGGTAGAGACTAACCTTCAAACAAGGACAGCTTCCTCTTGTGATGTATTTGCAGCATCTGAAAGTGATAGATTATTATTCTGCAGCAGGGAAGAGCTTTTTCTGTTAGACTGTTCATGAGAATGTGGGTGTTCAAAATACTGTTGTGTCCATCCAAGTTGATATCACTTCAGATCTCAGGATCCTGAGTTTTTTCTCTCAGACCTCTGACATTGATATGGAAGCCCTGTAAATGCTATGCATTTGCTCTTCTTTGTGTAGCTCTAGCTACATCCCCCCAAATTAGATATACAATATTGATATTTTATTAAATTCTATAATTTAAGTTGAATTTTTAATTTAAGAATTATATGTATTTTTCTATTCAGTTTCTTTTGGTGATTGGACTTGTTCATATTTTTGATTCTATTACTTGTCAATTTTAACATTTCAGTATAGTTTATCTTATAATTCATATTGAATAATTCTAATAACTGAAGTTTTAGAGCTATAAATCTGCTGTTATTTCCACTGATTCTTTCATGGTTATTTGTTTCCTTGTGTGCTTGCTCATCTTTAATGACTTCATCCATTGGCTAGACAGTTCAGTATTGAATATTCAGCACTAAATAATAAATGCTAACATTTGTTAAGTGCTTACCCTGTGCTAGTTCCTGGAGTAAGTGTTTCTACACAACTATTTATGTAATCTTCACAACAGTCCCATCAGGTAGACAGAAGAGAACTCAACTAGCACATTTTAGTTACTACTATGAGTTAGTTACTTGGCCAGATGCCTTAAATATATTAGTTATCCTCAAGAATATGGCATAAATTATACTATACCCATTTTTCAAGTGAGGAAACTGAGACCTGAAAGATTAACTCAGCTAATAAATTATAAGGACTTGGATTATAAATCAAGCCATCTGACTCCAGGATCTGTATTACTCACTTCGAGATGAATGATATTTAAGAGATAACCTAAAGGATACATTGACTATCAATTCTCATTTTTCAAATATCCCTTTCTTTAAGTTACATCAACAGAAATAATTATGCAGAAAATTCTAGCTTAAGTCAGTATTGAAGGCTTTTAAGGAAACATTGTGCAAAATATCCTTTTGGCATTTACTGAGTGTGGTGGATTGAAAAGCCACATGGCCTTTGATATTTTATTGAGAAGAAGAGTCTATATTTTCTCCTCAAATCTAAGAAAAGAAATAAAAAGAATCCAAATTGGAAAGGAAGAAGTAAGATTATCTCTATTTTATTTGTATTCATAGATGATATGATTTCATATACAGAAAACCCAAAGAATTCATAAAAAAACAACTAAAGCTAATAAATGAATTCAGCAAATCTTCAGGATATAAGATCAATATATAAAATCATTTGGGCTTTATACACTAGGAATGAACAATCTAAAAAATGAAGTTAAGAAAATAGTTTCATTTGCAATAGCATTAAGAAGAAAAAAATATGTAGGATTGCATTCAACCAAAGACTTGTACATTGAAAACTATGTACATTCCGGACATTCCTGGAAGAAGTTAAAGATAAATAAATGGAAATGCATCCCATGTTCATGAATTGGAAAGCTTAATATTGTTAAGCAATCTACAGATTCAATGCAATCCCTATGAAAATTTCAATGTCATTTTTTTTTTTTGCAGTAAAATTGACATGGAACTGCAAAGGACCCCAAATAGCTACACAAATCTTGAAAAAGGAAAGTAAAATTGATGGGTTCATACTTCTGTATTTCAAAATTGTCCAGTGGCTGTGGAAAACTATTTGGTGGCTCCTCAATAAATTAAACATAGAATTATCATATGATCCAGCAACTTCACTCTTACGTGCATACCCAAAAGATGGAAAACAGGTATTCAAACAAATACTTGTACATGAATGTTCATAGCAGCACTATTCACAATAACCAAAAAGTGAAAACAGCCCGAATGTCCATTAATCAATGAATGAGAAAACAGTGTATGTTGTAACCATTCAATGAGCTATTATTCAACCATGAGAAGAAATAAAATATTGAAACATGCTATAAACTAGATGAACCTTATGCTACAGATATATACTATAGTGTGGATGAAAACATTATGCAGACTTAAAAAAAGCCAAAAAGAAAGGCTACATATTTTATGATTCTATTTATATGAAACATTCAGAATAGGTAAATTCATAAAGACAGAAATCAAACAAGCGCTCTTCAGGAACTGAGGGTAATAAGGAGTGGAGAGTGATGTGAGAATGTGAATGTACTAAGCAACGCTAACTGGTACATTTAAATATGGTTAATGCTTAATCTTGTTATGTGAAATTTATCTCAATAATAAAAAAGTTATTATACTATCTCTTTTTTTTCCTTAAGTAGCTTTTTGTGTGTAGATTAGTATTTTAGTTATAAACTACCTCAAAAGATTTTACAAAGTATGCAGAACATAAACTTTCAAAAATAAAAAAGGGATTTTAAATGAATATAATAGAATTTCCAGTAAGGTACAAAAGCACTTACCTTGATGGGGTCCCTTTTCCCTTTTTAGTATTATACACACACTTGAGCAATAGTTTTCTAATAAATCCAAGAAATTTTATGCTTTCATAATATTTCTTTATTGCCTCAAGACTCATGTATCTAAGAAAAAAGGAAGGAAATCTTTAAACATACTTTAAAAATTTTAGGGTAAGCCTAATGCAGTGTTTTCAGAAAACAGAAAGACTATTTTGTCCAATGATGACTGGGAATGAAACAATTTTCTGGGCATAGATCCAAGTCATGAGACTGTAAATATAAGTAAATATATAAGTATGTAGTAAGATTATGGGGCTTACTCATTTAACAGACAGTATAAAAAATTTGTGGAGGTAAAAATATCTATTATGTGGTATAATTAAATGAGAAAGTATGTATGAAGCATCCAGCCCATCTCATACATCCTCCCATGTCTTTTCTTTTATCTTCTGGGCAAGTAGTCAGGGAATTTATGGGGAAAATACAAGTGGTGGAGAAAAGTGTTAGAATAGTTACTTGGAGAAGTCAGGGGTCGTATAATCCCAAGAGCCATTTTGGCAGCACTTGGCCCCAGTTGTCCGCAGTTTGTGCTGGCGTTTTTACTGAGACAGTTCAGACCTCTGTGCTGCGGCTGGTCTTGCTGAGCTGTTCCCTTGGTTTTAGGAGGAACTTCCCTCCTGCTGACCAGACACTTTTTCAGAGTCTCCATCAGGCGGAGGATAGGGTTCTGTCCTCGGGTGTGAGGTCCTACCTTAAAAATGTGGCTTAATGGAAGGACATGATGAGTTAAGTTCAAAGGTGGAGCTTTGAACTTCATATTGATTAAAATGTTTTCACTCTGAAATTTGGGCAATTTCTCTGCTACTGGGATACTGATATAATTGAAGAGAGTGGAGTCATTCAATTTATTGTGATACAATATAATAATGTAGTAATTACATGGAAAATCATGAATGTGTATATGACTTGATTCATTTCTGATTTCACAAATATTTAGTGAATATATCATGCTTGCTAAATACTGAGGATATACCAAAACAAATACTGGCTTCTTCCCTTAAGGATCTAGCAGACTAGAGGAGTAAAACATGCAAATAACAATTGCGGTAAAGTGTAGTAAGTGTTGTGGTGGAGATAATAGAAAACAGGGCACTCTGGACTATCAAAGGGTGGAATTTAATGTAATCTTGGGGAATCAGGAAGCCTTCCTGAAGAAATTACTATCCAAGCTAAGAGCCAATTATTTTTCAGTTCCTATGAAACCTAAAAGACTGTGTTACCAGTTAAGTGTGTGGTATTTTACAGCTCAAATTACTAAGTAATTCAGGCTCCTGAATTCTTATTTTTATCAACACATTCACTGTTTAGATCTGATTTAGGAAAACAGTATAAATATTTAGCTGGACAGTGAGGCAGTGTAACTTTGAATCCAAGTTCTGTAATTAGTCAAGGGACCCTGGGTAAATTATTTAATCTCTCTGTCTGACTTTCCTCATTTGCAAAATGAAGAAAGTAATAGCACTTATTTCATAGAATTTTTGTGACATTAAATTGGAAACACATGTAAAATGTTTTAAAACTGTGTTTGGCACAGCACTAGATAAATATAAGCTCTCTTCAAAATGTTATTTCTCAGACAGTTACACAGATATTTAGTACAGGTCCTGGTGCTCCTGTTAAATACCTCCATTCTTTCTCTCCTCAGACTTTCTTCTTGCCACAGGACATCAAACACATGGGAGTACCGATAGGAATGATCAGCAAAATGACAAAATCAGTCCCAAGGCATCTCAGCAGAGAAGCAAGTGCTGAGTACAGGTGTAATTAATAGGAAGTTCTCTGGGGATTGGGACACCATTTCCTTGATCTTGATATTCCCCCAGTGCCTGGCATATAGCTTTGCACATATTAATATTTAACATTTATCTCTTACATGCATGAACAAGAATGTAATATATTCCAAAATTTGCCTTCATTGTCTCTTCAAGTCTAACCTTTCACCTTCTTCCCACAGTCAATATCCTCTTTGTGTCCATTTACTCGGGGTCCTCATATTGCTTCTGCCTTCATGGAGGGTTTAAAGAGGAAAAATCAAGGCAGTGGGCTGAATTGTTCTATACTGTTTTTTTAAAAACTAACCTCTCCTGGATAATGCAGTAATAATACCTCAGCATGTCATTGATTCATTTAAAAATTTCTCTGTACACTGTGCCTGTCTTCTTCAGAGTATGTATCATGTTGTTTTAAACTGATTTCATTTGCCCAGGCCTCCCCTCCCCCACCATTCCCTTAACATCATTCAGGTCCCCTAAGAATTTTAAAGGCTTGGAGCAAGTGGGCAAACGGAGGTACTTCTACCATACATGGAAATGTTTAAACATTAGTAATCTAGAAAACAAAATTCTAAATAAGATAATATTTTATTTTCAATGTTACAATGATTTGCATGGCTAGGCTTAAACTTACAACTCTAAGACTTTTTGAAACCTGTACTCATACTGCAATGAGAATGTGCCCCAGTGACTGGCAACTTCTCTTCCCAAACAGCTTTATCCCTCACTGTGTACCACAAGCCAATGCATGTGAGTTGAGCCCAGGCTGGCACATCTCGTAGGTTTTGGGGTGTGCACACCAAAGGCCCAGTTTGCTTCTGAGATGATGGCTCAGGGGAAGAGGCCTAAGAACACCCTAGAAATGAGTTTAGGGCTATTGAAGTAGGGAATCTTGGCGTCATTGGTACCAGGAGTGTAGTCTAGAACAAGAAGGTATGTCTGGACTTCGGGTGGACATTGTTGCAAGTGCATTGCTGTTTAACTCTTCTTTCTACGAATTCTATACCCTTCCACAGGATGATCTGAGGGTACTCCCTAATACACTGACTGAGGAGCTCATTCTTACTGTGGAGATTTACCTCTAAAGAAACCACTGCAAGTGTCTGCTGAGTATTCAGAGAAAATGTGTGTTGGGAAGATTCAGCCCTAGTGGGAGCGGGGACAAAAGGAGAAAGGGAACAGCACCCCAGTCGGAAGGAGCAGGTTGTTCAGATGCTCTGAAGAAACAGAGCAAGTCTGGGAAACTGAAAGCAGGTGACTTGGCCTGACTGTGGGAGGGCAGAGCGGACAGCGGCCTGTGTATAATACTGGATGACCTTATAGCAGACAAAAGGTAGAAAACTCGCTTGCACAATTTCCTAAATACTGTGACTTAGGATGGCAGCTTTCCTTGACAATATACTTACTCTCCCTTCTTGTCACCAAAGCTTCCTGCTGCACCTTCCAGCAGCTGAACTGCCTTCTTGGACAGAATCTCATTCTTGTACTGTCTCTGGTAGCTTGCCTTAAAGAAACATTGAGTCAAATTATTATACAGCATGGATAACAATGACAATTTGGTAGTCCCTGTGTGGAAAAATAATCTGTGAGAAAAATGTCAAAATCTCCAAATAATCTAGTATCTTTATAAAAAGAATCTCGCTCTGGAGTTCAGACTGTGAGATCAGTGCAGAAGTTAGGTCTGGTCTTTGGGTGGAGCTTAACTGGTTTTGTAGAAAACTAGGTTCCTGCAAGATGTTCATTAGGCTTTCAAAAATAAGTAGAGTTCTCTAGCCACTTAAATTTTGGCAGCACTTGGCCCCAGTTGTCCGCAGTTTGTGCTGGCGTTTTTACTGAGACAGTTCAGACCTCTGTGCTGCGGCTGGTCTTGCTGAGCTGTTCCCTTGGTTTTAGGAGGAACTTCCCTCCTGCTGACCAGACACTTTTTCAGAGTCTCCATCAGGCGGAGGATAGGGTTCTGTCCTCGGGTGTGAGGTCCTACCTTAAAAATGTGGCTTAATGGAAGGACATGATGAGTTAAGTTCAAAGGTGGAGCTTTGAACTTCATATTGATTAAAATGTTTTCACTCTGAAATTTGGGCAATTTCTCTGCTACTGGGATACTGATATAATTGAAGAGAGTGGAGTCATTCAATTTATTGTGATACAATATAATAATGTAGTAATTACATGGAAAATCATGAATGTGTATATGACTTGATTCATTTCTGATTTCACAAATATTTAGTGAATATATCATGCTTGCTAAATACTGAGGATATACCAAAACAAATACTGGCTTCTTCCCTTAAGGATCTAGCAGACTAGAGGAGTAAAACATGCAAATAACAATTGCGGTAAAGTGTAGTAAGTGTTGTGGTGGAGATAATAGAAAACAGGGCACTCTGGACTATCAAAGGGTGGAATTTAATGTAATCTTGGGGAATCAGGAAGCCTTCCTGAAGAAATTACTATCCAAGCTAAGAGCCAATTATTTTTCAGTTCCTATGAAACCTAAAAGACTGTGTTACCAGTTAAGTGTGTGGTATTTTACAGCTCAAATTACTAAGTAATTCAGGCTCCTGAATTCTTATTTTTATCAACACATTCACTGTTTAGATCTGATTTAGGAAAACAGTATAAATATTTAGCTGGACAGTGAGGCAGTGTAACTTTGAATCCAAGTTCTGTAATTAGTCAAGGGACCCTGGGTAAATTATTTAATCTCTCTGTCTGACTTTCCTCATTTGCAAAATGAAGAAAGTAATAGCACTTATTTCATAGAATTTTTGTGACATTAAATTGGAAACACATGTAAAATGTTTTAAAACTGTGTTTGGCACAGCACTAGATAAATATAAGCTCTCTTCAAAATGTTATTTCTCAGACAGTTACACAGATATTTAGTACAGGTCCTGGTGCTCCTGTTAAATACCTCCATTCTTTCTCTCCTCAGACTTTCTTCTTGCCACAGGACATCAAACACATGGGAGTACCGATAGGAATGATCAGCAAAATGACAAAATCAGTCCCAAGGCATCTCAGCAGAGAAGCAAGTGCTGAGTACAGGTGTAATTAATAGGAAGTTCTCTGGGGATTGGGACACCATTTCCTTGATCTTGATATTCCCCCAGTGCCTGGCATATAGCTTTGCACATATTAATATTTAACATTTATCTCTTACATGCATGAACAAGAATGTAATATATTCCAAAATTTGCCTTCATTGTCTCTTCAAGTCTAACCTTTCACCTTCTTCCCACAGTCAATATCCTCTTTGTGTCCATTTACTCGGGGTCCTCATATTGCTTCTGCCTTCATGGAGGGTTTAAAGAGGAAAAATCAAGGCAGTGGGCTGAATTGTTCTATACTGTTTTTTTAAAAACTAACCTCTCCTGGATAATGCAGTAATAATACCTCAGCATGTCATTGATTCATTTAAAAATTTCTCTGTACACTGTGCCTGTCTTCTTCAGAGTATGTATCATGTTGTTTTAAACTGATTTCATTTGCCCAGGCCTCCCCTCCCCCACCATTCCCTTAACATCATTCAGGTCCCCTAAGAATTTTAAAGGCTTGGAGCAAGTGGGCAAACGGAGGTACTTCTACCATACATGGAAATGTTTAAACATTAGTAATCTAGAAAACAAAATTCTAAATAAGATAATATTTTATTTTCAATGTTACAATGATTTGCATGGCTAGGCTTAAACTTACAACTCTAAGACTTTTTGAAACCTGTACTCATACTGCAATGAGAATGTGCCCCAGTGACTGGCAACTTCTCTTCCCAAACAGCTTTATCCCTCACTGTGTACCACAAGCCAATGCATGTGAGTTGAGCCCAGGCTGGCACATCTCGTAGGTTTTGGGGTGTGCACACCAAAGGCCCAGTTTGCTTCTGAGATGATGGCTCAGGGGAAGAGGCCTAAGAACACCCTAGAAATGAGTTTAGGGCTATTGAAGTAGGGAATCTTGGCGTCATTGGTACCAGGAGTGTAGTCTAGAACAAGAAGGTATGTCTGGACTTCGGGTGGACATTGTTGCAAGTGCATTGCTGTTTAACTCTTCTTTCTACGAATTCTATACCCTTCCACAGGATGATCTGAGGGTACTCCCTAATACACTGACTGAGGAGCTCATTCTTACTGTGGAGATTTACCTCTAAAGAAACCACTGCAAGTGTCTGCTGAGTATTCAGAGAAAATGTGTGTTGGGAAGATTCAGCCCTAGTGGGAGCGGGGACAAAAGGAGAAAGGGAACAGCACCCCAGTCGGAAGGAGCAGGTTGTTCAGATGCTCTGAAGAAACAGAGCAAGTCTGGGAAACTGAAAGCAGGTGACTTGGCCTGACTGTGGGAGGGCAGAGCGGACAGCGGCCTGTGTATAATACTGGATGACCTTATAGCAGACAAAAGGTAGAAAACTCGCTTGCACAATTTCCTAAATACTGTGACTTAGGATGGCAGCTTTCCTTGACAATATACTTACTCTCCCTTCTTGTCACCAAAGCTTCCTGCTGCACCTTCCAGCAGCTGAACTGCCTTCTTGGACAGAATCTCATTCTTGTACTGTCTCTGGTAGCTTGCCTTAAAGAAACATTGAGTCAAATTATTATACAGCATGGATAACAATGACAATTTGGTAGTCCCTGTGTGGAAAAATAATCTGTGAGAAAAATGTCAAAATCTCCAAATAATCTAGTATCTTTATAAAAAGAATCTCGCTCTGGAGTTCAGACTGTGAGATCAGTGCAGAAGTTAGGTCTGGTCTTTGGGTGGAGCTTAACTGGTTTTGTAGAAAACTAGGTTCCTGCAAGATGTTCATTAGGCTTTCAAAAATAAGTAGAGTTCTCTAGCCACTTAAGTGTGGGAACTGCTCCAAGTTGTATGAGCATCCTAAAGTTTGTAATGCATAAAATTAAGGCCTCTGAGAAATCCTACAGTAAAGGATCCTGCTTTAAATCCTTATTGAATTCCATTTCCCCAAATATTCTGACAACAGAACTCTCTTGTGTCTAGTCTATTACAAGCACTGAATGAGCTGTTACTGTTGTGCAGAATGTGGCCCTTTGTTTCATTCAGTCCATATATCAAGATACTGTTCTGCTTCAGACACCACATTTAATGTTGGGAAAAACACTGTCTGACATCGCCCCTAACCTCTGTGTGCTGAACGCTGTTGAGAATCATTGTTCAGACCAACCTCTTAAATTGGAATGTGTGCTGTGATTAGAGATTCCTGGGTTCCATGGAAGACATTCTGTCTGTACAATCATTTATGGATATTAAACCCCAGTCTTTCTCTTGGGGGATACTAGAAAGGATAGAACTAAATTTAAGGATGAAGGATCAAAAGACTATGTGTCTTTAATAAGAAGAATTCGATAGAGTAGCATTCTTCTCCTTAAACTTCATTACACTATTTATAAAATAATGTGAGATTAAAATATTTTCAGTATCCTCAAAGATATACACTGTAGTTTATGGAAAAATAAAAAAGCTGAAAATAATAAGGAAAACTCGCAAAAGCTTAGCAACACAAATGACAAACAATTAGATGTTAGAAAAATGTTAATTCTTAAATGATCATTCACACCAAATTGAAAGAATTTAGAGTAGGTTCATTCCTAAAAATAACTGCCATTTGTTCAGCTCTCTACTATATTATTAAAAAAACTGATCTGTGTATGTTTTACATAAGATTACTTAAGATTCTTACAACAAATTTATGAAGATGGGTATTTTATAGATGAGAAAGGTGAGGCTCAGAGAGTTAAGTAGTTTTCCCAAGTTCACATTAGGAACAGTTCTCTCTGAACCTAAAGCCTGTCTCCCCTCTCACCCATTATGGCTGCTGCTTCTCCTGTACCACTGATTTCTTCTGTTGTACTTTCTCTTCTAACATGCAGTAGTAGAGAAGATATTGCCCCAGTTAACAAGAACAGGCTGAGATTTAAATAAAAACTCTCAAAACTTTGAAAACTGTAATAGACCAATTAATATTATTGTCGGGAGCAGCAAACATTAGAATTGAGATGGCAGGAACAAACCAAGATAAGCATGAAAATATGTCTAAAATGAAGGACTAAAAAGATATGAAATCAGATGATCTAACAAAGAAATCCAACCTATTTTGAAAAATAGGATTTCCTGATTAAGATCCAACACCTGGAACAAAATCAACCAAGATATACTATAGAAAACAAACATTTAAGGCAAGAAGTAAAAAAGGTACATGGTATGTATATTGCAGAATACATAGAATATCACAAGAAAAAAGAATCTAAGAGGCCACTCAGTTAGCATAAATTGCCTGTTTTACAAATAGGGAGAATAAAGACTAAAAAGAGTAAGCCTTGAGTCATACATCATTTTAATAATGAAAGCAAGACTCAAAATGGTGTTTCTGCATTGATTTTGAGGGATCCTAAATGCTCTCTTTTCCTGAAATAAATAAAAAATCTGAAAGGAACTGAAAGACGCGATCTCATAACATCTGCTGATGAACAAAGCACCACAAGGGCATAAGTTCATCCACCGTGGCACTGCTTTGATTACTTAAAGAAGTTATTTAGGTTCTTGGAAAATCTGCCTTTGAGAATCAATTTGTCTGCCAGGACTACTGCTGAAGAGAGAACAATCCTACCCTATAGTCCTTCCATTCCCCAAGTCAGATAGAGCATGCAGAATGGTTAGAGTCCTGTATGGCTGGAATAGCTGAGAAATGCATGACAATTTCATATGCAATCAGAAGGCCCAACAAGAACATTTTGAGAGCACAAGTCATGGCAACTAGTCAAGATCGTGAGCTGGATAGAAAATAGTAACTAAGTTATTGGCCATTTCCCACATAGTCCTGTATGTTGCTCTGCTGCAGAGTTTCTATATTCCAGGCTTGATATGAAAACATATTACCCTCAACCTGCAGTTATTAGTAGACTGTGTGGTATCCTTCCACAAAAAGCTGGCTTGGACCCAGAGGGGCAACATCATGGAACTGACTACATAACATCCTGTCAATGGGAACTGTGAAATCCCCAACTCCTCCTGAAAAATACCTTTTGCTTAAGCTAATTAGAGTGAATTTTATTTCTTTTTTCTTTGCAGTCAAGCTGGTTCCTAAGACAATGTCAAACTTCCCTTTTCCTCTGTAACAATCTATTAAGCATAATCAAGATGTCTTTAAAAAGGGAGAAAGTTTTCAGTACAATTTTGGGTCAAAAAGTAATTTTGAAGGAATATAATAAAGTACTAACTATTTGTGCTGACAAGAGACGCCTTTTGGCCAACTCCATTGTTTCAATGTTAAGGGTCTCATCTATTTCCTTGTTACAGTCTGGACATCTCATCTTTTGATGGCCTGTTGCTTCTCCTTGGTTCAACTAAGTAAAACACAAAGCAAGAGAAAAAACTATGAATATTAACATATTTGTTAGCATAAGCCTCAACCAATCCACATACCAGTTTGGTTTAAAAAATTATAGAAAGTTTGTGAAAAAGATGTTCACATGAGTTTCCTCATCATTTGCAGTTATCTAGAAGATAAAATAATGGCCAGTTTTGGGGAGTTATATTTTTACCTTTACTTTGAATTAGTAACAGTTTATAAAAGCTACTACATATATGATCACACTTTAAACCAATGGTTCTGAAAATGTGATTCCCTCAGCAGCCTCAGCATCGCCAGGGAACTGTTGGAAATGCACATTCTCAGACCCCACCATGGACCTACTGAATCAGAAACTCTTGGTGACAGGCCAGCAATCTGTGTTTTTACAAACCCATTCCATGGTTATGCTGCAGCTACAATTTGACAACCACTGCTTTAAACTGATCACTTATGGTAGACTGGAAAGCAAACTTGGATTTAAGTGATGGGAATATGGATAACTGCATTTTACAGTTGAGAAAAGCTGAAGCTGAGAGAAAGAAAAAGATTTGCTCTAATTACAAAGCTATTAAGTGACAAAGCTAGGATGTGAACCCAGATTTTTTTAGTCCAAGGCTAGTGCTCTATCTATAATAGTGCTCCTATGATACCCATCACATCTGCATAGTAAAGAAGAGAAAGCAGTTGTTTGATTATCTGCCTTCTGAAACAGATCAAGTACAAGAGTGGTGGTCTCAACCCTGATACAGCATTAGAATCAGCTGGATAAATGGATTAAAAATACATATTCCTAGGACCCTCCTCAGACCACTTGCATCAGAAATTTCCTGGGTAGGGGCTGGAAAATCAATTCAAACCTTAAATTCAGATGATTCTATGCAGCCAGATTAGCAAAAAGCCACAGTCAGATATTGGGAGCTATCATAGAAAAATCCCTGGATTTCATCTGTTACTTGGCTCATCCAGAAATCCTGGCAGGATTCCTGCAGCAGAGGGCTTGGTTCTGAGTCCCATTCTGGAGCTTCAAGCACCAGCTAGTGGATAGGAAGTGGATTTTAGGGAATTCTATTTCATAGAAACCAATTATCTTACATCTACTCTCCTAAAAGCAGGCCCCTCATGTTGTGTGATGAAGGAAAACATTGTACTGAAAACTGGACATGACACAGGAGATGGCAAAGCAGCAGTGGCCCTGAGGCCCCAGAACAACTTTCATTATTCCTCCTTATGGCAGTCATGACTGATTGGTGAGTTACATGCTTGTAAATGAATAAGAAGTCTGACTGCAGAGATTCTCAAACATAGCTCAGGAAAAGGGGTGACATCTTCACCCCATATAAATTTATGACACTGGCTTTGAATTCTATATTATATTAAAAAATATTAACCAGAAGCTAGGGCCTATTAAGTATTTGGCATATACAAAAGCCTAAATATATGACTAAATGCTGAATTAAGGCACCTGTCTACCCTTAATCTAGTAAAAAGCTTGTCATTTTCTAAGACCCACTCTTCTCTTTTTATGATATCTTTTAAAGGCAGCTCCAATTATACTTTTGGAATTTCACCATATATTTTCTATATACTCAAAGGGATTGTCACTTCTACTTTGCCCCATAGTGGTCACAAAATTCCCTACTATTATGATAAATAAGGAGTTGCCAATATGTCTCTGTCAGTTACAAGTATTAAAAATTGTGAATTAATATTTATAACATTTATCTTATTTAAGGGCAGTCATATCTACTTTGAAGGAATAAACAAAAGATAACACTTGCTTACCGCATATGGGTTTTGAAGTATAAGTGCTTCCTCAACCATGTGCCAATCTGCATTAGCAAGATCCTTGTCGAATTTGAGTGTAGAGACTGTAGATTTGGTAAGCTCTTGAAAGTGTTGAAATGTATAATAAAGTGATTTATTTTTTGTTGATGTGACATCAAGGAGACCTTTGAAACAAGGAGCACATGTTAAAATACTAGGAACACCACCGTTTTGTTTTCTTATTTTTTGTTTTTTAATTGGAATATAGTTGATATACAGTATTATATTGGTTCCAGATGTGCCCACCATGGAAAGAGTAGTTACCACCCTGTTACCATACCAAGATATTGTAATGTTATTGGTTATACTCTCTATGTTGTACTGCCATTCCTGTAACTAATTTATTTCATAGTTTGAAGTTTGTACCTCTCTGGCCCCTTCAACTATTTCACCTATCCCTCCATCCCCATCCCCCTATGTAACCAACAGTCCACTGTCAATATTTACACATCTATTTTGTTTGTTTTGTTTTTTACATTCCACATATAAGTGAAATCATGTGGTATTTGCTTTTCTCTGTCTGACTTATTTCACTTAGTATGATACCCTTAAGGTCATCCACATTGTCACAAATGGCAAGATTTCCTTCTTTTATATGGCTGAGTAATATTGCATTGTACATATGTACCACATTCTTTATATATTTTGGAATTAGCCCTTTATCAGATATATCACTTGTAAATATATTCTCCCACCCAGTAGGTTGCCTTTTGTTTTGTTCGTTTCCTTTGCTCTGCAGAAGCTTTTTAGTTTCATGTAATCCCATTAGTTTATTTTTGCTTTTCTTTTCCTTGCCCGGGAAGGCATATCAAGAAAAAAATTTCTTATGTTGCTGTTCAAGAGTAAACTGCCTCTGGTTTCTTCTAGTAGTTTTATGGGTTCAGGTCTTTAATCCATTTTGAGCTTATTTTTGAGTTTACTTTGTGTATGGTGAAAGACAGTGATCCAGTTTCATTCTTTTGCATGTAGCTGTCCAGTTTTCTCAATCCCATTTATTCAAGAGACTGTCTTTTCCCCATTATATATTCTTGCCTTCTTTGTCCTATATAATTGACCATATAGGTATGGGTTTATCTCTATTCTGTTCCATTGGTTTATGTATAGTTCTTGTGCCAGTACCATACTGTCTTGATTACTGTAGCTTTGTAGTATAGTTTAAAATTGGAGCATGTGATATCTCCAGCTTTGTTTTTGTTTCTCAGGATTGCCTTGGCTATTCAGGCAGGGTCTTTTGTGATTCCAAGGAAATTTTAGAATTCTTTGCTCTAGTTGATTGAAAAATGCCATTGGTATTTTGGTAGAGATTGTATTGAATATGTAGATTGCTTTTGGCAGTATGACCATTTTAACAATATTAATTCTTCCTATCCATGAGCATGGGATAGTTTTCCATTTATTTGTGTTGTCTGCAATTTTTTCATCAATGTTTTGTAGTTTTCAGAGAACAGGCCTTTCATCTCCTTGGTTAGATCTACCCTCATGCATTTTATTCTTTTTGATACAATTGTAAATGGATTTGTTTTCTTAATTTCTCTTTCTTATACTTCTTTATTTGTATATAGAAATGCTACAGATTTCTGTACATTTATTTTGAATCCTGTGACTATTGAATTCATTTATTAACTCAGTTTTGGTGGAGTCTTTAGGGTCTTCTATATATATTGTCACGTCATCAGCCAATAGTGACAATTGTACTTTATCCTTCCTGATTTCTTTTTCTTGCCTGACTGTCACAGCTAGGACTTCTAGGACTATGTTGAATAGAAGTAGTGAGAGTTGGCATCCTTGTCTTCTTCCTCACCTCAGAGGAAAAACTTTCAGGTCTTTCCTGTTGAGTATGACATTAGTTGAGGGTTTGGCATATATGGCCTTTATTGTGTTAAGATGTTCCCTCTACACCCACTTTGTTAAGAGTTTTTATCATAAATGAATGTTGAACTTTGTCAAATGCATTTTCAGCATCAGTTGAGATGATTACATAGCTTTTATCTTTCCTTTGTTCATGCGGTGCATCACATTGATTGCTTTGCAGATATTGAAACATCCTTGCATCCCTGGAATAAATCCTACTTGATCATGGTGAATGACATTTTGATGTATTTTTTAATTTGGTTTGCTAATATTTTGTTGAGGAATTTTGAATCAATATTTATCAGGGATATTGGTCCATAGTTTTTTTTCTGTATTGTCCTTGTCTTGTTTTGGTATCAGGGTGATCCTGGCCTCACTGAATGAATTTTGAAGTTTTCCTTCATCTTCAATTTTTTCATATAGTTTGAGTGAGACAGTTATTAACTCTTCTTTCAGTGTTTGGTAAAATTCACCATAAAGCCATCTGGAAACACCACCTGTTTGATATGGATTATAAAGCTTCCTTTTGTTCATATTGTCATGATTTTTTTAAGTTAAAGATAAAATAAATTGATTAATAATGTGAATGCTAACAATTTCAAAATTTTCTACTTTCCTACTCCTCAAAAGCTAAGGTACATAATATTAACAACTAATATTTATTGAGTTCTTACTATAACCTGAGAAAGCACAGCTCACCACTTTGCATGTATTAAAATCTTTTGATCATCTTGACTACCTTTTGCGGTAAGTCTTTTTCCCAGTTCAACAGATGAAAAGATGAAGGAACAGAGATGTGATGATTAAATTTGTGTCAACTTGAGTGGGCCATGGGGCACCCAGATATTTGGTTAAATATTATTCTTGATGTGTCTATGAAGGTGTTCCTGGATAAGAATAATATTTAAATTGAGAATAAAGATTGCTCTCCTTAATGTGAGCAGTCCTCCTCCAATCCATTAGAAGCCAGAACAGAATAAAGTTGAGAAAAAGGAAATTCACTCTCTCTGCTTTGACATCAGTCCTTTCCTGCTTTGGGATTTGTACTGACACATGAATAGCTTTCCTGGTTCTCAGCCTTTGAACTATAGATTTTTGGCCTTCTTAGCTTTTATAATCACATGAGCTAATTTCTTAAATCTTTTTCTTTGTACATCTGTGTATACATCTGTATGTAGAATATATGTACAGATACATTGTACATACATATATAGGATATATAGGATATATATTGTAGGAGACATATAAGTAGAAAATGTATGTCTATATATATGAATATCTATACCTCCCCAATATATATCTCCTACACATATGTTTGTGTATATATATATGTTCTCTATAATACATATAAAATATATATGGACATATACATATATATAGGACATATTTTGTAGGAGATATATATATGCATATATACACATAGAAAGTAAATGTACATATATACATATATATCCTATCTATATATAGGATCATATATATGATAAATATTTATTTATCTCCTCATTAAGACTTGACTGATTCTTAGATTAGACACAAATTCCTTTTTTGAGCCATTGAAGCTTCTTTGGTAAGCAATAATATTCCATCAGCAAATGTTCACTGTTTTCAGTGCAAGTAAACAGATGCTCATAATAAGAATTTTAGTCTTATTTAGCTACTAAGTAGCACACATGATACTCTTTGCAAATCTTTATCTCTTTAATGAGGTTCTTTCCATTTTACTATTTTCAAGTCAGAGAATAAAAAAGAAAGAAAAATTTTTTTGCAAATATGAAGAAAGTAGGGAGATTAGGTAGTGCAATGTCATCCATAAAGATGAAATTTCAGATTGATAAAAAAATGCCATTAGAGGGAAAATATGAGGGGTTGTAGAGTAGTTAAGAATATAAGGATTTAAAAGAAGAAATTCAGATGGCCAACAGACACATGAAAAGAAGCTCCACATCACTAATCATCAGAATGTGATGATTAAATTTGTGTCAACTTGAGTGGGCCATGGGGCACCCAGATATTTGGTTAAATATTATTCTTGATGTGTCTATGAAGGTGTTCCTGGATAAGAATAATATTTAAATTGAGAATAAAGATTGCTCTCCTTAATGTGAGCAGTCCTCCTCCAATCCATTAGAAGCCAGAACAGAATAAAGTTGAGAAAAAGGAAATTCACTCTCTCTGCTTTGACATCAGTCCTTTCCTGCTTTGGGATTTGTACTGACACATGAATAGCTTTCCTGGTTCTCAGCCTTTGAACTATAGATTTTTGGCCTTCTTAGCTTTTATAATCACATGAGCTAATTTCTTAAATCTTTTTCTTTGTACATCTGTGTATACATCTGTATGTAGAATATATGTACAGATACATTGTACATACATATATAGGATATATAGGATATATATTGTAGGAGACATATAAGTAGAAAATGTATGTCTATATATATGAATATCTATACCTCCCCAATATATATCTCCTACACATATGTTTGTGTATATATATATGTTCTCTATAATACATATAAAATATATATGGACATATACATATATATAGGACATATTTTGTAGGAGATATATATATGCATATATACACATAGAAAGTAAATGTACATATATACATATATATCCTATCTATATATAGGATCATATATATGATAAATATTTATTTATCTCCTCATTAAGACTTGACTGATTCTTAGATTAGACACAAATTCCTTTTTTGAGCCATTGAAGCTTCTTTGGTAAGCAATAATATTCCATCAGCAAATGTTCACTGTTTTCAGTGCAAGTAAACAGATGCTCATAATAAGAATTTTAGTCTTATTTAGCTACTAAGTAGCACACATGATACTCTTTGCAAATCTTTATCTCTTTAATGAGGTTCTTTCCATTTTACTATTTTCAAGTCAGAGAATAAAAAAGAAAGAAAAATTTTTTTGCAAATATGAAGAAAGTAGGGAGATTAGGTAGTGCAATGTCATCCATAAAGATGAAATTTCAGATTGATAAAAAAATGCCATTAGAGGGAAAATATGAGGGGTTGTAGAGTAGTTAAGAATATAAGGATTTAAAAGAAGAAATTCAGATGGCCAACAGACACATGAAAAGAAGCTCCACATCACTAATCATCAGAGAAATGCAAATTAAAACCACAATGAAATATCACCTCACACCAGTAAGGATCACCAGCATCGAAAAGACTAAGAACAACAAATGCTGGCAAGGATTCAGAGAAAGGGGAACCCTCCTACACTGCTGGTGGGAGTGTAAGCTAGTTCAAGCACTGTGAAAAGCAATATGGAGGTTCCTCAAAAAACTAAAAATAGAAATACCATTTGACCTGGAATCCCACTCCTTGAAATTTACCCAAAGAATACAAGTTCTCAGATTCAAAAAGACATATGCAGCCCTTTGTTTATCTCAGCACTTTTTACAATAGCCCAGATATGGAAGCAACCTAAGTGTCCATCAGTAGATGAATTGAGAAAGAAAAGGTGGTACATATACACAATGGAATACTATTTAGCCATAAGAAAGAAACAAATCCTACCATTTGCAACAACATGGATGGAGCTGTCAGATATTATGCTAAATGAAATGAGCCAGGTAGAGCAAGACAAGTGCCAAATGATTTCCCTCATTTGTGGTGTATAACAATGAAGCAAAACTGAAGGAAAAAATAGCAGCAGACTCTCAGACTCCAGGAAGGGTCAAGTGGTTACCAAAGGGGAGGGGTGTGGGAGAGCAGGTTGGGAGGGAAGGAGATGGGGATTGAGGGGTATTATGTTTAGTACACATGGTGTGGGGGTTCCCGGGGAAAACAGTGTAGCACAGAGAAGGCAAATAGTGAATCTGTGGCATTATTACTACACTGATGGACAGCGACTGCATTGGGTTATGGGTGGGGACTTGATGATATGGGTAAATGTAGTAACCACATTGTTTTTTCATGTGAAACCTTCATTAGAGTGTACATATCAATAATACCTTAATATAAAATTTAAATAAGAGAATATAAGGCACCAGGGCAATTTGTTTCTGGTTCTTAAAAGAACCACACAAATTGCCTAGTTATGTGATCTGGGCAACAACTTCTAACTTTCAAGATCTCAATTTCTCAATCATTAAAAAGTAGGGGATTAAAATAGGCATGTAGCATAATGTGATTGCCTCCTAAAACTGATATTTCCGCTTTATTCTCCTCATGTCCCCAGGAAGTTATCCACAGAATTAGAATCGTCTTTTTAAGGCCTTAATCATTGTGGATAAAATGAAGGTTCCCATGGCCTGGATTCTCACCTGGCCCTGGTTGACTAGCTCACTACACGTGTGGGCAATACATTGTATATAAAGAGCCCCACCCAGTGCTCTGGCGGAGGCGGAGACTCTACTGCTTGACCTATCATCAGGAGAACGAGCCAGGTAATAAAACCTTTCACCAAGAACGTTCTACTGTCATTTCTTTGGTCACACTGAATCCATAGCGAACTTGCCCGTGGCGGAAACCCAGTGGCAAGACAATCATATAATCACATTGACTTGCTTAAAACCAACCAAAGAATTCCTTTTGCCCTTAGAATAAAATTAAAATCCAAGACTCATCGTCGTCAAACTCTCCTACCTCTCCCATCTGGCCTTCCTCTACTACCCTGCATTGTTCTCAAAGGTCCCAACACCTGAAGCCCTCTTTCCTTGAATACACCCAGTTTCTAATTTCCTTAGGAGTCCAGCACCTGTTGTGTTTTCTATCTTACTTACATGTGACCTGTTTACTTATGAGTCTAATATTACCTTATTTGACTTTTTAATGTCTGTTTCTCCTCTCTCCAATATAAGCTCCATCAACTGAGAAATATCTGTCTTCACAATGTATCACTATTGAATAAAGCCTGGCATATAGGAAGGTCTTAATAAAAGTTCGTCCCCTTGAATAACTGAGTTAAATTTGTGTGACTTTACTTAAACTGGACTAATGTAAATAAGCAACTTTTATTTACTAGTGTAAATAGACAAGCTCATTGGCCTAAACCTTCTACTCACATGCCTTTACATAGAGATCCACCTTCCTCTTCAATTAAACAGTATTGATTTGTATTTGTATGGATTCTTTCTTCATTAATAGCAATTCTTTATCATATTCAGAATATTTTTCTCTTCATTCAGAGTTGTAATTAGAAGGACTTACCAAGTTTACTAACTGCCGTTGGCAAAATCAATCTATTGACAATCAAGGAAACTAAGCATACTGACACTCCATGAAATAATAACTAGAATTGAAAAAAAATACAAAATAAGTGTTAGTGACAATTTCATGTGATATGTTCTGTATTTATGAATGTAAATTAAGCTAAGTTGTACAATGTCAATAGAAGCTCATGACGGGGGAGGATTTGGATGCGGGCATAATCAAAGTACTGGGGATTCTTTATCTTCCTGCATGTATTTCATCTATGTTTTTGGAACCAAACCAAAATCAGGACACATGGTTTGCAAGTAAAAATATAGAGACAGTGGAAAAAAACACTTGTCCTTAAATTCCACTTCTGCACTTCTTGGACTCTGGGAATATGCCAGTACTTTGTCAATTCTTATCCACTATACACACCTCCATGTGCATAACTGCACACAGTCCTCTGCTCAATGTTACAACCATATCAGATGTGCCTCAGATCTGGGAAATGAGAAAATCTCAGAGGCCTTGTCATGTCTGCTCCACCTCATACTTTGCCTCTCTGGCATCCCTTCACTGTCAGCAGGGAGGAGCAATTAATATCTTTGGTGCCACTTGACTTCTTTCTCCAATTATATCCTAAGTTGTTCTCTATGGACAAGTGGAACAGCACTTCAGTCTGAGACCACACACTTTTATTGATTTAAGGATTTCTCGCTTCCAGAATTTATGTTAGTCCCCTAATCAGTCCTCTGTTCTTTGGCCACAGGTGGAGGTTAGGAGCAGACCATGAAACCACACTTAGAGGCTCTCAGGGTTGCACATTAGGATCACGTGGAAGCTTAAAAATATTGGTGCCCAGGATGCTTCCAACAGAATATTCTGATTTAATTCTCCAGGGATGCAGCCCAAGCATTGTCAATTTAAAAAACTGAAATAGAATCTACATATATTGAAATGTACTTATCGTGTACCATTTGGTAAGTTTTGACATTATGTATCCCCCCAATGATCCTCAATCCTATAAATATATTTATTCTCATATCCCCCCAAATTTCTCTAGTGTGCCTTCCCAATCAATCCCTCAATCCACAGTAGGCAACTGCTATTCTAATTTCTATTTCTATAGATAAGAATTACCAATTCTAAAACCTCTATATAAATTAGATATAATTATGTATCTCATCAGTTTTAATTTGTATTTCCCTAGAGTAACAATGTTGAGCATTTTCAATGAGCTTAGTGGTATACATCTTTCTTTCTGAAACTTTGTTCAACTCTTTTGCCTATTTTAGAAATTGGGTTGTTTTCCTTTTATTATAAAATTGTAGATTTTGAAAAATATATTCTGGAAAGAAGTGCTTTGTCAGATATATGTATGGTGGGTATTTTCTCCTAGTTTGTGACTTATCCATTTCTGTAAAACTATCTTTTGATGAGCAAATGTTTTTAATGTTGATGAAGTTGTTATTATTTCCTATGTTCTAAGAACCCTTTGTCCATCCCAGTCACAAAGGTATTCTTTAATGGTTCCTTTCAGAAGTTTCAAGAGTTTTTGATTTTATATTTAAGTCCATGATCCATCTTGGCTCAGTTTTACATATGGTGTGAAGTGAAAACAGAGGTTTTATTTTCTTTTTTTCTAAATGATCGACCAGTTATTCAGCACCATTTGTCAAAAAGACCACCGTTTCCCAATGAACTTGTTATTTACTAGCAAACCACTGGTGTTAATTATTAAGTCAGATCTTTTGGAATGAGGAAACTGACATGTGGTGAGGTGGGTGGGAATTAAATAACTTGCTGATGGTCACACAGAAAACAGTAGCCAAATAAAAATGTCAGAACTCATGTTTCCCCTTACACTGGTCAGGATGAATAGTAATGAACTCATCTTGATTATTCAGGCATGTTAAAAAGAAGGCAAGGTCATGTGATATTAGATAATTTTAGTTTTAAAATGAGTGTTTGAATATTATGTTTTCAGTGATTTGGCTATAATTTAAACACATGTAGAAATTCCCTTGCTGTTCTTCCCATTACATTTGGAATTTGTGTAAAAAAAAAAAAAAAAACAGAAACAAAAACTACAGTGAAAGTATTTAGATGCATTGTGATGTCTGCATAAGAAATTTCTTACAAAGCTCCTTGTAATATCTGACCTTGAGATGAGGTGGCAGGAGAGTCAGGCCTGCAATGCTGTAAGGCAGAATTTGGGGGTGCTATCTCAGAGGCAAATTCACCTCACAATTAAAAGGTTTTGATTCCTAGCATCATGAAATGTGTCCTCACATTCATAAAGTTACCAAAAACAATATAGCCCGCCATAGACAGGTCTCTGCTTTCCCCAAGTGGGTATTAAGAGTAAGGAAAAATAAAAACATTTATTGAATGCATATCTTGTATCAGGACATAAATTACGTTTTTAATTTAATCACTTAATTGATAAATTCAATTCCTTTAGCCTCCATAACCAACTTATTTTAGGAGTGTAATGAAGGGATTTAGGAATCCTGAAGCCTCAGAGAGAAGAGGGAAGTCCCCAGGTGTTCCTTCCCTCCCCAGTCCTGCCATCATAGCTTAATCACTCCCACAGGCCAAGTGGGGTGGGGCTACCTCACCGCAATAGCATATTTTAGTACACAGCAACAGTTTTTATAAAATACTCAGATTAAAAAAAAGAAAACACATCTTTCTTTACTTGAGATTTTTCCCTCTCTGATCCCAGAGGAAGGTCCGAGTAGGCAAGTAGCAGGGCCATGGTGATGTTGGGCGTCCCCTTCATTTCACTCCAGACTATTATGAACGCCCAGCGCCAGTTGAACCCATGTCCAATTCGAGACAAAAGAGGGCTCATGGCTAGAAAGACCAGAAGTCTGAAAGACAAAACAAATTTTGACAAAACAAATTTTAAAAAGTTATTTTCATAGAAATTTCTTTCCATTTTCTTCTATCCTATTTCCTGTGGAAGTGCCTACTCTCAAACAAATGAGCCACCTTTCACCCCCTGTTGACAGAGCACCAGAGGAAGGCAGACGGGCACCACACAGGATGCGGCAAGAGAGTGGCACTAGTCTCTGTCTCTCTCTGCTAGGAGAGTAGTAGGGCGAGTCCACCCTCGAGCGGTGCTCCTTTAGGCAGAAAAGAAAGTTGGAGGTGTTGTGTAGATATATATTCCTATCTGGGTCCCAAAAAGAAATAAAAGCAAATCTAATGAATCGGAAGCAAAAAGAAAAAAGTCTCCCCTTTCTTCTTTGTAGAAATCTTGCTGAGTCTGTCCAATATTGGTTAACTCATTTCT